AGGACTCTGGCTGCTCCTTTTTCTTTAAGAGTAGGTGGAACACAGAAGGAAAGGCTCCCCTGCCTTCTAACCAAGGGGGACTTGTCTACTGCCCAGAGCAAAGTTGGAGAGACAGGCTAGAAAAGAGAGCTGCTTGCCGTGCCCTCTGTTGGAGGAAGAAGCCCAGATCTGTCTCAGAGAGGGTGCAGGTGTCAAGTGCCAGGGTGTGACAGCGAGTAAGGATCACCCACAGACAAGTAGGGGAAGCTGCTGTGTGCCCGTTGAGGAGCCCAGGTGAGGCCGTGTGTCCCTGACCTCACACAAGGTCAGAGAGTGACCAGTGCAATAAGGGCAATTACAAAGGGGGATGTCGCCGGGCTGCTTTCAACTGGGTGCAAGATGCTAGATGGGATACAGGATGCCCAGTTAAATTTGAATTTCAGACAGAGAACAGATAACATTTTTAGTGTAAGCACATCCCAGGTACTGTGTATATATTTATACTTAAAAATTACTGATTTAAAAAAATCTGATGCTCAAATTTAACTGGGTGTCCTGTATTTTTAATTGCTAAATCTGGACATCCTTGATAAAGCGGTCCTGGAAGCCCTGCCCTTGGAAGCAGAGGGGCCTCAGAACTTCCTGCCCCGGGGTGGGGCCAGGACTAAGCAGAGCAGGAATATGGGTAGTGGGAGGGGACAACGAAGGCTTTCCAGGGAGAGGACCAGAAAACTGGGTCTTCAGTTTTCAGGAGGCTGAGCTTGATTTTGTAAACAAAAGCAAAGGCTATTTCCCAAGACCTCTGTCCTCAGCCCAGCCTAGGGAGGGCAGGGGGTGCAGGATAGGAGAAATTCCACCCGCCCAGGCTGTAGGGGCTCTGAAGCCAGTTGGCTGTCTTCCTCCCTCATTCTGCACGTAGTTCTAGTAGCTCTCCACCCCTATCTGTGTGGCCTTGAGGCCTTGTCAAGCCCTACAGCCACAGGGCTGGGGCTTCTAGTTAGCTCTGAGGCACCCAGGCTCTGACAGTGGGTCCTCCCAGACGTCAAATTCTCACCCTACAGTGCCATTATCAGCAAGTTCTGGCCTTTCTGCTACATCCTTCCAGCCTTTTCCTTGAGCGTCCACTGCAGCTGGGACTCCACAGCTCTGCCCAGCCTCCTTCCTGGATGCTGCCTCCATGTGACAGGCTGTTCTTGGACTGACTTACCGCTCACTCCTTCCCATGGCCTCTGACTCCTCATTCTTGTGTTACCTCATAGGTTGTCGTCTGCAAGGAGCTGGCTGACCCCTTATGAGAGGCAATCCCCCCTTACTCACACCTCCCTATTTTTTAATTGAGATAATTCACATACCATACAATTCACCCATTCAAAGTCTACAGTTTAGTGGGTTTTAGTATATTCACAGAATTAATGCATCCAACACCACAATCAATTTTAGAACATTTTCACACCCCTATTAACCATTATTCCCTATGCTTCTCCCCAGCTCCTGGCAACCACTAACCCACTTTCCATCTCTGTGGAGTTGCCTGTTCTGGACATTTCACAAAAATGGAATCACACACTGTGTTGCCTTTTGCATCTGCCTTCTCTCATTGAGCACCACGTTTTCAAGTTTCATCCACTAGTCACATTGGTGCTTCACGTCTTTTCATGGCTGAGTAGTACTCCAGTGTGTGGATGGCCACGCTGTGTTTGGGCATTTGGGTTGTCCTTCTTTTTGGCTACCATGAATCTTGCTGTTGTGAATGTTCACATGCAAGTGTTGACTCTGAGAAATAAAATACCTTCTAAGAAGGACTCCCTGTGGTTAAGTGTGCCTAATTCAAGGGTTTAGCAGCCCTTGTTTACAGAGGCCTTTCATGCAAGGTGCATAACAGGGAAAAGCCACGGACTGACCCGGCAGCCTCCTGCACTGTGCTCCTTCCTGCTGAGTCACCCTTATAAGAGAGCTCGTAGAATCAAAATTTGACCGACAGGAGACTTTTCCTGTCCAATCAGAGCTGTGCAGCTTTGTACTTGTTTGCATTTTTCCTGACCAATCAAAATATCTTTTTTTTAATAAATTAGTATGGTGCTATTCAGACCAACCAAACTTTGATTATTTGGAGTCCTCATTTGCATGGAAGTTGACCCATCAGGGACCAGGAGTGGAAACTTCTCTCTGTATAAGTCAGTCTACGCTGTGATTTTGTGGAGTGGATTTTCAATTCCCTGTGAATACTATGAATTCCCTGGCCAGAGCTGTGACACCTGAACCACCTCTCTGAGCTGCTTAAGTCTTCTCCCCTTCACCTCTGCTCAGCACCCCAAATTTGGGGTTCCTGGCTGCATTTAATTGGTGGAAATAAACTTTGGACTGTGGATGTGAGTTTGCAGTTCCCATGGTCATATCTTAGGAGTGGACTTGCTGGGCCAGATGGTAACTCTGTGTTTAACAATGGGGTGGTTTCTACAGCAGCTGCACCTTTCCCACCAGCAATGCCTGAGAGCTCTTTCTTTACCTTCTCCATTTATTTATTTATTTATTTATTTATTTATTTATTTTTTATTTATCTTTAGAGAGAGGGGAAGGGAGGGAGAAAGGGAGGGAGAGGGACATAAGTATGTGAGAGATACACCTATCAGTTGCCTCTCACATGCCCCCAACCATGGACCTGGCCTGCAACCCAGGCACGTACCCTGACTGGAAATCGAACCAGTGATCTTTTGGTTTACAGGCCAGTGTTCAATCCAGTGAGCCACACCAGCCAGGGCTATTATCTGCCTTTTATTATAGATATCCCAGTGGTTATGAAGTAGCGTTTCACTGTGGTTTTGATTTTCTTTTCTCCAATGGCTCACGATGTTGAGCACTTTTCATGTTCTTATTGTCTACTTGCATGTCTTGTTGTGATGGGAGAGACCTGGTTCTTCTTGCTGACGCATGTAAAGAATTACATATCAGCAAATCTAGTAGTATATAATCAGTTTATTAGTGGTCCACTTCCATGGAAGAGAACAGGACCGGGTAGAGTAGGGGGTGAAAGGGAAAGTTTCAGAGCAAAGCAAGGTGAGAAAAGCAAGAGAGGCTGGAGACCAGGGTGGCAATCCCCTGGGCAGCCTAAGGCCAGGTGGCCAGAGGCCCTGTGGCCCGACAGCCAAGAGCCCCCTTAGCATGAGAGAGAGAGCCAGAGTCCTTTGTTCTCAGGACTTATATAGTTGGTGGGATAGGAGGGAAAAAAGTTACATATTGATTAAGGGGTAAATGTGGCGCCAGCTTTCCTGGGGAAATGTGACTACCCAAACTTAGGGATGAATGGGGGTCTGTCCACCTGAATTCTTATCTTGCTCCAGACTCCACTTGGTCCTCCTGTTGTAAGACAAATATGTGACTGGAGGCAGTTAATTAAATTTTGGGGCACTTTCCAAAGTTACTTATGGGCTCTTTCTGTAAGCGTCAGAGACTCCCTTGTAAGACAGATAGTGACTAGAGGTAGGCAATTAACCAAACTTGATTTATGGGCTCATTCTTTAGGCACCGGGGACCCTCTCCCACATTCAGGTCTTGGGTTGAAAGCACAGTTTCAAGGCTTTCTTTTCCAGATAGTGGAAATGTTACATAGAATTTCAAGGACTTTCTTTCTTGCTAATATAGTGTTTCTTGTGATATTGAAACACCTGGTAATATTATCAGAACAGGCTTAGGACTGCTGATTTAGCATGTGAGACTTGTCTCCTTCCTCCTCCCTGCCTCGGTTTACTATTTATTCTACCTAATTGGTAAAAGGTGTTTCCTGGCAACCAGGGTGATAAATGCTGGCCAGTGACAGTATTGCAGTCTCAGAGTTCTTCCTATGCTGTCTCTTGTTTCATTGTTTGGAGAAACATGTATTCAGATCCTTTGTTCATTTTTTAAAAATTTTTAAATACGTTTATTGATTTTAGAGGGAAGGAAGGGAGTGAGAGAGAGAGACAGAGGGAGAGAGAGAGACACATCTATGTGAGAGAATAACATAGAGTGATTGCCTCCCATTCACATCCTGACCAGGGGTCACACCTGCAACCTAGACATGTGCCCTGGCCAGGAATCCAACCCTCCCCTCAACCTTTCGGTATAAAGGGATGATGCTCCAACCACTGAACCACACCAGCCAGGGCTCCTTTGTCTGTTTTTTAATTGAGTTATTGTCTTTCTAAATTAAGTTGTAAGTGTTCATTATATATCCTAGGTATAAATTCCTTATCAGATACATGTTAACCAATATTTTCTCCCATACTATAGGCTGTATTTTCATTGTCTTATTGTTCTTGGAAGCACAAAAGGTTTTATTTCGATGAAGTCCAATTTATTTTTGCTTTTGTTGTGTGTGCTGTGGGTGTGATATATAAGAAATTATTGCTTAAGCCAAATTCACAAAGATTATATTACCTGTTTTAGTTTGAAATTATTTTCAAGTATTTCTTGAATACTTTATCAAGTATTAATGTTAATACTTTAACAAGTATTTCTTGAAAAACATTTTGAGACCTCAGAGTAGGTTTTCCAGACAAAATACAGTACTGCCAGTTACATTTGAATTTCAGATAATGAATGAGATAAATAGCGAATACTTGTATTGTATCACTATATGCAAATTGCATGGGCTAGTTACACTGATAAATTACTCATTTCCTGCCTTACATTCACATTTAACAGCCATTCAGGTGTTATTTGCTAATTCTGGCAGCCCCCGCCTGCCCCAGGCGACATATCCCACCTGTTCACAGGGATCCCTATGGCCTCCCTTAATGCTTTTATTTTTGTATTGTGGTAAAATACACATGGTATAAACTGAGCATTTTAACCACTTTAAAGTCAGCTTAGGTCTTGAGTAACACGCTGAACAAATGAAGGCCCTGCCCCAGTTTCCTAGCAACGGGGGCCAAGCCCTAGGTCGCGGGCGTGCTCAAGTCACGTGGTGCCGCCGTCCGGGCTACGGTAGTGCGAGCTTCCCTGGGCTAGCGCGTGTGTACGTGCGTTCTCACGCGTGCGCAGAGAGCGGCCCGCGGACCCTGCGCGCTCCACTCTGCGCGCGCGCTCCCGTCCCGCTTTCCCGGTTCTTATAACCCTGCGGGCGTTGGTTGGCGGCGGAGGCGACGGCGACATGGCGACCATGCTAGTCGTGGTTCTAGGGCTCGCGCTGCTGGGCGCCAAGAGCGGCTCCAGAGCGGGTAAGGACTGGGCCGGGCGGACGCGGGTCCAGCCTCGGGGGTCCCTCCGGCTGGGGCGGAAGCGTTACTACCCAGGAGGTCCAGGGGCGGCAGTACCGGGAGTTAGCAGTCACCCACGGGGCTCCTCGCCGAGGTACTGTGTGGGGAAACCCCGGCATGGGAGGCTGGCGGGGGTCCGACCAGATTCTGGAGGTGAAGTCCCAGGTTTTCGGAGCCCTGGGGAAGGGACGGGGGTCCGGGAGTGGCCTGACCCTGGTGCGGGCACCTGGGGAGAGGATCTGGAGGCGGCCCCCCACCCTTTCCCTGCAGGGAAGGACTATCCGGTTGGGTCCTACAGCGTCCCCTTTGGACGGGAGCCCAGGAGCCTGGGGAGGCAGCTTGAGAGTGGGCCTCTTCCACGCCCCCGCCAGCCCGGGTTGTACTGGGACAAGAGGTGCGGCTGAGGGCCTCCTGGGCTCCTCGGGGCCCTTGGCTCTCATCTGGAAAGGGGGCTTTTCCCCTTAAGTAGACGCTGGAAGGAAGTGCACGTGAGTGTCCCTGCGGCGGGCAGTCTTGGATTTGGCAGGGATTGTCATTCTTGTCGGGATTTAGGTCTCGAGTCTCGCTCTGGGTATGCACCTGCTCCTGGTGTTAGCACAGACATTTAAATTTAAACCCTTGTAGGGAAGCCAACATGCTCTGCCGCCTGTTTTTCTGATTTCCGTGCACAGATGAGATGGCGTATCTAGTTCACCCACCTCCTTTTCCAGGGGTGGAAACAGGCCTAGGAGGGGAGGTAGAATATTCCAAGGTCACTGTGAGATCGCCCTGGCCACCCAGGAAAGAGCTGGAAGTGGAGAAAATGTTTGCAGACCATGAAACAGCATTAAATTTTAGAGCTTTTCTTGGGGGGTGGACAGATGTGATTTAGAGAATGCTCATGAGAAACAGATTAAGGTATAATTTTCCAAGGGAAGACCCGATAGACATTTTCTTCCTGTATTGAGATTTCCCATTTGGTTCTGGGTTAAAGATTTATAGTGACTGGCATGTAGGGAACAAAGTGCAGACCAGAATGACTTGGGGCTCTTCTGGGGAGGTAGCTCCTTGGGGGCTCTGAGCGGCATGTGAACTGCTCTGGGCAGGGGCCTGGAAGGACTGCCTCTTGAACAGGCTTCACTGAGTTACTTCTGATCTACCTTATGATCTCAATGGCATCTCTCTTCTCCCTCATAATCGAGACAGCCATTTATTGAATGCCTCCAGGCAAAGGCCTGTCTGCCTGCTACTGCTGTCTGGAAAGACTCAGGAGCCCATAGGTGAAGTGAGTTTGGGAGTTACACAGCTGCATTTGGCAGCTTGAGCCCTTTAGAAATAGTCCTTGGTGGCTGCAGTTGGCCAACGGGGTGAAAGGGCTTATGCTCTTCCTCTGCTGGGAGCAGTTTCTGAGTTTGTTAATCTCTCCTTAGAGCGGAAGCTCTGGGTGACTCCCCAGAGCTCCTGCCAGGAAGCCTAGAGGATTTGTGCCATTGCACATTTGGGGCTGTTCTTGCACACTTACCTCGTGTCTGACTCTCCAGAGACTCCTGTCTGTTTTGTTCCCCGCCTTCACTTTGGGCAATTCACCTTTCCCAGGGACTCTTGGAAAGATCTGAAAGTCTTTCAGAGAATGTCACCACACGTCCTTTTTTTGCCTGGGAGGGGTGACTTAGTGACAGTGTTTGCCTTTCCTGGCCTGGCCAGGTCAGTGCTCTAGAAATGCTTTGGGAGCTCTTGCCAGGAGCAGGTTCCTCCATCTGACTGTCAGCACCCTGGTCCCCTGAGGCCCAGGGGTGATTCTTCTGCCAGGAGACCCTGGCTGTCCCTGGGATTGCCCAGGGCCCTGTTATCCTGGCCAGACAAGTTGGGAGGGTGCCAGCTTTCCAGCTGGGTCTCTTGGGCTGATGACTTGACCTCTCTGAGCCTCAAGTGAGGGGAGCAGGAGCCACCTCCTGGTGGAATGGAGGGACTGAGGGAGAGATAAGGAGCCCATGGCTGGTATCCCTGAAACATTCTTGGCTCCTATCTGGGCCCTGCAGTGCTGCCATGGGTGGGGAGGAGGGCGGGTAACTTCAGCCTCATCCTACAAGTTTCTTGGCTGTTTACCTCGAGGCCTGCCTGGCCCTGCGCCCCGAGCCTGGCTGCTGAGTGGGCCCTGAGGAGGGGTGGCTGTTTTTAGATGAAGGTGACTTTACTTGGCAATGTGGGTTATAGTCACAGGGCCAGAATCACGGAATAGCGTTTTCACTTTTCTTTCCCCGGTCTCCTGGTGCTCTAGAGATGGAGATTCCTACCTCCTGTCCCTGTGAATTCTGGGGATGTTTCCCCCAAGTCCTGGACATTGAGTTTGGCCAGGGGTTGCTAGAGGATGCGCTTTTCAACTTTTCTCCAACATCACTCTCCAGCCACCCCACCCCTCAGCCTTTTGAGACTTTTTTTCCTAATAGCCCTGTCCCAGTGACATTTTAACATTAGATGTTAACATCACTTACAGCAGCAGGTCTCTGCGTGTGGTGACCCCGGGTTGGGTCACAGCCATTGTAATTCCTAGACACCCGTCCTCTCCCCGGGAGTGATGCGGCCCTGTTGAAGATGCATGAGAGAGATGTGGCGGCATGGTGGCCAGCTCACAGGAGGCTCCCTGGTGAGATGGCTGGCAAGTGGCCCAGGTGGGGCCTTGGTACCATGCTGCTGGTAGCCCTCCAACCAGAGCAGGGACACCTGCCTGAGGGGCTCTAGGCTCACTTTCAAGTCACCTTTTTCTGCCACAGGGAGGCAGGTATGGCCAGGACGAGATCTGACCGACCTTCTCTCTGGCAGCCCCTGGGTCAGGGGGTGAGAGCACAGGTGAGGGTTCGAGGCTCTACGGTAGAGAGGGGCAGCCCTGTCTGGGAGGGCTGCCTGGGCCTCACTTCCTACCCTGACTGCTCCCAGCTTGGCACACAGCTGCTTGTTTTGCAGTCTTGGGAAATTTTAATTCCTGAGAAGTGTGGATTACTGGGTGGCTTCCAGGTCAGGCAGCGGAGCTTCTAGCTTTAACTGTGCCTGTCCTGAACCCTGTGAGTTGCCTTTGGACCACCCCAGGTGGGAGGATGTGAGGTCCACTTGTTACTGGGGCCTTGGAGCCTCCTTGCCCCAGAACAGACAGCCTGGGCCCCCAGGACCTCCTCACCAGCAGCCTGTGCTCTCCTCCGTGCAGCAAGGGCACCGTGATCGGGTGTGCATGTACATGTGCACTCTGTGTGTCCGCATGTGTTTGTGTGTGGGTACATGTCTCTGTGTGTGCGCTCCTACCGTCCACACATGCACACATGTAGGGTATGTGTGTCTGTCTACACACCCTGGGAGCAGACGGGTGCTCCAGCCCCAGAGCCCTCCTTGCATCTCCTGTCTGGCTGTGGTTAAGCTTTTTGTTTCATCCCTGCTTGCCTGGAGTTCTGAGACATCGTGTCTTGTTTTAAAGAAAGAGCCAACAGGTGGCCAGCGGTGGGTCGGTGAGGACTGGCCTGTAAAGGAAGTGGCCCAGCGGCCTGGCTGTGCATGTGTCCTGTCCCCGTCCTCCCAGACTAGAAATGCAGCTGGAAGACTGGGTCTGCATGCCTCAAGTTGACAGTGCAGGGCAGCGGGGGTCCACTGTCTCACTGAGGACCTAAGTGCCAGGACCCTGGGCCGTGGCCCTGGGACCCAGTACAGGTGTAGGGCTGGGGCTGCATGCTTGGTGCACGCCGATCTCAGACTGTCTGAGGAGAGGCCAGGTGTGTACTGCCTGTGGGTCATTCCAGATCTATCCGTGAGGTCTCTTGGATAAAGTTTTTCTGCTGCCCTTTTATGTTTTGAGGTTTAATTTTCTTAATGACTAACTGGGTCTCTGTGGATGGGTAAGGCCAAGCAAGCTTTGCTCATGTGACGAGAGTCCAGTGTGGTGTCCAGTGGATGCAGGAGAATACCTTTCCAGTCATTTCCCTGTGGACTAGGGTGTTAGGTATAAGCCAGAGGTTTGCTGCTTGTGGAATCAATTTATACTGCTGCTGAGTCCTAGGCAGCTAAGATAACCATCCAGACGGGGGTCACCTCTGGTCACTCTGCCCAATTTCCTGCGTTTTGTTCTGTGGTTTCAGAGTTTTGCTTCCAAAGTCACTGGGTGTCCCCAGTGAGGAGGCCGGGGTCTGGGTGGGGCGGGCCTGCTGGGCGGCTGCCAGGCTGCTGGGTTTCTTGTAGCCACTTTGCTAGTATGGTGGCCTCTGAACAGAAGTTGTTCAAAACACAGTCTTGTGTTGTGCTTTTTCATCCAGCTATGCCACAGGCTTCTCTCCACAGACTGAAAGGAGAAGAGGCTCATTGTAAACAGCTCTGGCTGAATTGCTTTATGCTTAATCCTGTGGGCACAGCCTTTTAGAGGGGATGTCTCCAGGGCCCCAGGGTGTGGGTGACCATCCTGGAGAAACAGACACTCCATGTAAAGCTCTGCCTTGGAGTCATCCCAAAGGAGATGAATGGGGGCCAGCATGGGCAGCCTCGTGGTGCCTGAGACCCATAGTGGTGGGGCAGGGGTGTCCACACAACACCTGCCCCCACCCTGGGACAGGGCTCTGGCATGGCTGGGCAGTGGCGGCAGAAGGCTCCATTCCCCTCACTTTTGACCTTGGTCCATGGAACACCTGCCTAGCTTCCTCTGTGAACACTATGGGATTGGGATTCACCTCCCATCTCTGGTCTCTGAAGAGGATCCCTCCTAGCTTACACCCAGTCTCTTGGGTTTCTTACCGGATTCTAAGTGTTTCTCACATTTCTTTCTTTCTTTTTAAGCTTTTGTTTATTTTGAGAGAGAGGGAAAAGGAGGGAGAAAGAGAGGAAGGAAAACATCGATCAGTTGCCCCTTGCATGCCCCCAACTGGGGACCTGGCCCGCAACCCAGGCATGTGCCCTGACTGGGAATTGAACTGGAGACATTTTGTTTTGCAGGCTGGCACTCAATCCACTGAGCCACACAAGCCAGGGCTGATTTTTCACATTTCAGTTCCTCAAGAGAACATCCAAAACTAGTGGGGAGATTTGCCTAAATGGAAATTGAGTTAAAGGACCTTTGCTAATGGGAGTCCACCCTCAGCGCCCTGAGCAGGACAACATACTGTCTCCTGTATGGCGGCTTTATCGCAGTTGTGAATGGGCTGTGGGAACTCCTGACCTTCTGGGAAGAAGTTTCTTTCAAGGATGGGGGCAGCTGGCATGCCCTGGCCCTGTCATTTCCTGTGCTGTCCAGCCCATAAGCCCAGCACACCTGTCCCCATCACGGTGGTTTGCTTTGATGAAGAAGAGGGAATGTGCAAGACTGTGCAGCGAGGGAGTGTTGCCCTGAGCACGGATAGATTTTTTTTTTTTTCCAAAGGAAATTAGGGTCTGTGCTGGGCTGGGCCCATGAGTTGGGACTCCAAGTGGGCATTGGCCTCTCTTCCCACATCTGAGACCCCTGTCTGCTGGCAGAACCCACCTCAAGCCCCTGTCTCACTCAGTAGCTCTTCGGACCCGAGACCTCATTAACTCCAAAGGAGATACTCTTCTTGAATGTGCCAGTGAGGCTCCGGACTTGTCAGCAGGGCTGCGGCTGCTCTGCCCCAAGAGGGCACTGTGACTGTGGAGGTGCCACCGCGGATTTGCTACAGGGACAAGTGGGCAGGAGGCTGTGGGGGTCACAGACTTTGCCCTTCTCTGATCCCTTGGCTAACCTCCTCTCATTCGGCCACACAGAGAGCCAGATCTTGACTTCCATAGACTTTGATGGCTCCAAAACACGCCTCACCTGCATCTTCAATGGCAGTGATACTGAGATCCTGGGCCACCGCTGGATGAAAGGGGACGTCCTGCTGAAGGAGGATGAGCTGCGTAGTAGGACAACACAGTATGAGTGCGTGAGGCCCATGGAGGCACCCAGGCCCTGTGTCCCGCTGGTCCCAGCAGAAGAGGGGTGGGGCCTCTTTTCAGGGAGCTGGTTTCACCCCGGACTCCCTGTTGCCTGTTTGCTCTGATTGGTTCTCACTGTTAATGGCCATGCCATCAGCCAGAGTGAAGGCTGTTGCCCTTGGGCCCACACTGGACAGACATTAGACACAGACTCTGCTCAGATCCCTTGGTTGTGAGAAGCCCAGGAACCAGGGAGGAACCAGTAGTGGCCAGACATCATGGCCTCTAAGACCCTTTTCTCCTTCCTCTGGGCGCTGGCATGTGAGAAGGCCACTACAGGGGTGCCCCCAACCTGCAGTCCCTGAATTCCTGGTTTACTAAGGTCTCAGGCACTCAAGACTGCCCAAGTTAAAGCCTTGTCTTAATCGAAGCCAAGCCAGCTCTGGAAACCCAGAACCCTGTTTTCAAGCTTCTGGGGTTCCTGGATACAAGGGGCTCATCAGTGAGGGTGCCAGGTTGGGAGCAGGGCCAAGCCCATCTGCCATCCCCAAAACACCTCTTCCCTCCTTGATGGGACATGGGCAGTATGCACCCTCCTGACCATCACTGCAGAGGCCGTGCTCTGGCCCCACCTGCAGAGGGCAGCTCACGGCCATGTCTGCTTGCAGGGTGGACACAGATGAGTCCTCGGGACAGTACTTCTGCATGTTCCTCCCGGACCTAGGCAGGAGCAGCGTGGGCGTGAAGGGTGAGTACTGTGGCCCCCAGAGTGTGTCGGAAGGGGCAGGCTCCTCCATCTCTGGGGTGAGAGAAGCCCACACACTGAAGGAGGGTCGGCTCCTCCGGGAGGTAGGGCTCAAGCTCTCCCGTGCTGTTCTCTTGACCAGGGCCCCCCAAGATCAAGGCCAAGAAGAAGTCAGAGCATGCCACTGAGAAGGAGGTGGCTGTGCTGACCTGCGAGTCTGAGTCCTTCCCCCCAGTGACCAAGTGGGTGTGGTACAAGATAACCGAAGCTGGGGATCAGGTGAGGGTTGCACCTGCCTGGGGTTGGGGGATATGGCCTGGGCCTCGGTGTCCTATAAGGTCCACCTGTCCCCAGGTCCTTACCAACAACTCCCAGAACAAGATTGTGGTGTCCTCGGACACCACGACGGAGCTGCACCTACAGAACCTGGACCTGGAGGCCGACCCCGGCCAGTATGTCTGCAACGGCACCAACACAGAGGGCACTGGCCAGGCCATCATCACGCTGCGTGTGCGTAACCACCTTGCCGCCCTCTGGCCCTTCCTGGGCATCGTGGCCGAGGTGCTCGTGCTGGTCACCATCATCTTCATCTATGAGAAGAGGCGGAAGTCGGATGACGTCCTGGATGGTGAGCTGGCCCTGTGCCTTCAAACCAAGGGCTTAGGCACCATCCAGGTTGAGGGACCACCCCCTCATCTGGTCAGGCCCCCAGGGATTGTCCCACCTTCTGAGGCTGGGGATTTGGTGAGCAGCCATCCTCAGATGCTCATTCTCCCCTCATAGCAACTGTTTGGGTCTGAGGGCCATTGTCCAAATGAGCCCATGACTGTACTTGACAAAGCTCAGGAAACTTGAGCTGCCTGAGCCAGGCCAGGGTGCCCGCCTGCCTGCGAGCGGACGAGGAGAGCAGGCAGAGCTCCTGGGACACTCAGGCTGTGACCCCAGATAGCTCATTTTGAGTGCACATGTCCCAGGGATGGGCCTGGCTCCCCACATGTCCAGCTGGGGACACAGGGCAGGGCCCAACAGGACAAGAACCACCCCTGATGCCTGTTCTTCTCTTGCATGTGGCTTGGCTGCGCGTCCACACAGATGAGGACACAGGCTCTGCTCCACTGTGAGTCCTGGCCTCGCGGTGTCGGGTGAGGGGTTGGTGTGGGCAGGGCTGGGGGAGCTGCTGGCCTGGACTTGGACACCTCCATCAGTGACTGGGGGCGAGGGTGACAGGTGGCTATTTTGTCCTTCTGAGTCCTGAAAAGCACACTCCCCCCAATGTCCCCAGGAAGAGCAGTGGGCACCATGTGAATGACAAAGGCAAGAAAGTCCGCCAGAGGAACGCCAACTGAGTGAGTAAAGTGAGGGGCGTGGCTCTGTGCAGGGTATGCCCCACCAGTGCTGGAGTCTGAGTGTCCCGTCCCCCCCCTCCGCAGGTGGCGAGGGGTCTGCACAGGCCCGAGCTGCCGTCCAGAGGAGCCCCATGTCCAGGGTATCCGTGCCATTCCAAGTCCTCTCCTCACGAAGGAAACCTGCCCTGCAGAGTAGACCGTGCTGTGGGTGCAGATCCCATTTTCTCTTATTTTTAAAAAGTCTAAACTTGGGTTTTCTCTATGTAGAATTCCATTCCTTAGGGTTTTTGTTTTTTCTTTTTAAGAGCACTCTAGGGGAGCCTCGAGGTTCTGTGGGAGGCCCCTTCTGCCCACTGCCCATCCCCACCCTGCACCCAAAACCCATACCTTCCGTGTCCCCTGGGCATTGAGCTTTCTAGTCTGTCATGCTGGGGGTCTGTGGAGGGCACATTGGCCTTTTCCTGAGACTCTTGCTGCGGCTCACCTTTGAGGCTGCTGGGCCTTGGTTCTGCCGCTTCCCTGCCATTTTCAGAAGGTCACACACAGGTCACGATGCCTGGCATTCTTCCTGTCTGAAGCCAGCACTGTGGCATCACCACAGGTCTGTGTGACGTGGGACAGGCCACCCCTTGGGATATCTCCCTCACTGCTCCTCCTGTCCCCATGCTTGGGGGCGGTGGAGCAGGCGACCAGCGTGGAGTGGGAGTTACTGTAACTCCTTCTTCCCCATTCGTGCCCACGGTGACTGAAGAAGCCTCCACATCGTCCTGACTGAGATGGGAACCCCCCTGCCCCGCTACCCCCCCGCCCCAACCAATAAAGGCAGATCCACCTCTCCCTGTCCTGGTTCTTGTCTGTGCTGGACCTGGAGCTTACAAGGAGAGCATAGTGGGTGCGGGAGGGGGTTTAGCTTGCAGGGCAAGTGCTAAACTGTGCTGAGGCCCAGAGTAAAGTTACAGTGCAGGGGGCAGGGGTGGGGACAGGACAGGGTGGAATGGAGCTGACCACTTGGCCTGGGAGCTTTGTTCCTGGGACAAAGGGTAATGGCAGGGATGGGTGGAGAGGACTGGGAGGACCTGCAGCAGGTCTGAATGGGGTGGATGGTCACCAGCTGTTTCAGAGGCCCTGGGCAACACCTAGGATCTTTCTCACCGGCTCCACAGTGGGGGGTAAGCACCTTTGACCCATGTGTCCCAGGCAGCACTCTCCCTGTGGTTGGGTGGCCAGGGAGCAGCAGTGGTGGTTGTGGATGGGGACTCGTGGGAGAGCCAAAGGACTGTCTAGGACCCAGGCAGGGGAAGGTGCAAGTGGGGATGTGGGGGCACCTAGAGCCCAGCGTCTTGGGATGGCACCAGCTGAGGTGGGGCTGGGGCCCAGAAAGCATGGGACGGGTGCCTGCTCACCCAGACTGCACCCTGACTGGCAGGGAAGCACAACAGGTTGAAGAGCCAAGCAGCAGGAGGCAGTGTCTTGCTGAACCCTGGGACTGGCAGGTACCATCTAAGCCTCCCACCTGGTGCAGCGGGGGAACTGCGCCAGATGGGAAAGAGCTTGTCCAGGCTTAACCCCCTTTCTACGTCTAGGGAACTCCCCCTTTTGGACATGGGCTCAGACTGTCAGCAGGTCGGGAGGACCTTGGACCAGGTCTCTGGAGAAGCACATTATTTCAGTGTTGGCAAGAGGTCCAGCATAACTGCCACAAAGCTGAAGACAGGCTGTGCCCACCAGACGTCAGGTGCCCCTGCCTGCTGACCAGGCACTTCACTGAGGCCTCCGGGGGCGCACAGCAATCAGCTGGGAGTCTGGTCTCAAGCTGAGGAGAATAGGGGATTCTTCATACGGTTCCCCTCACCCTTTGTCCTGCATCCCACAGCCTGGGAAGAGCCATCCCTCATTTCACAGGAAGGAACTGAGGTTGCTCCATGGCAGAAACCCAAGTCTGGGGTTTGGGGGCTACCCCTGCCCAGTCCTACCCTCTGGCCACCACCAGAGGGTGCCTCATGCACACTGGCGAGTGGGACTGGGTCCAGGGAAGTAAGTCCACAGAGCCCTTTGTTCACTGCCTGGTCTTGTGTGCCTTCCAGCTGAACACACCTGGATCCCAACCTTCCTGAGCCCTGAGGTCCCTAAGAACCCACCACTTTTTCTGTGGCCCTTAAGGTGCACACGCCTACTTGTTGCTCAGCGACATTGAAGGGACACCAAAGGTCTACCTGGGGCTGGGGATTCTTTAGACAGGCCGCAGGTCCAGTGGCCAGAGCCAAACACATGAGGAGGTGACAGTGAAGCTGGACCATCGTTGGGGGTGGCTTGGCCAGGCCTCCTCCTGGGCAGCCCGTCCCTCCTGGGCTTGAGTGGGCGTGTTTGCTTGCTTGGAGTCAGGGGCGGCTGCACTGGGGTCTTCATCAGGACAGGCAGCGCTGTGGGGTCGGAAGTGATCTCACGGAGTGCAGAGCAGCAGATGGGAGTGTGCAGAGTGGAGGGACGAGCAGGAGCCCTCGTGGTAGGTTCGTACAAAGCGCCCTTCCCCGGGGAGGGACACCATTTGCCATGTGTGGATGGACGGCTGTCCGGTTCTTGTGCACACAGGAAAATAAACCTGATTAGCAACTAGGCTGGCAGCCTTTGCCCCTGTTCCTCACACTAAGCATTCGTGTCTGTCCAAACAGTCAACAAGCAGCCCTGTGCCACAGAGGGGTGTGCTTGGGGACAACCCGCTGGAACCTACCTCTTCAGGGGTGGGACAGACAAGCCAAAGCAGCCAAGTATTGGGGTTTACGGGAGCACCTTTGGCAAGTGCTTGCAGGGTTCGGGAACTGAGGTCACAGGGTCTCAGCCTGCTCGGGACAATGGGGCTGTCAGGCCAATGAGGGCCCACTCCCTGGGCTGCCTGGGAACACGCTCCACCTGCTTCTCCAGACCAGACCGTGTGAGGACAGGGCCTGTGGCGGAGGCCTCTGCAGGCCCTCCCAGAGCCCCCTCTGGTGCCGACCCTAAGAGTACTTTTACTTTACCTAAAACAGAAAGTGCCAAAGAGGAGAAAAAACTAAAGAAAGGACTAGAAATGGGGACTGTCAGGCTGGTCCTCCCTCCTCGTCCTGCCCCCACTCCGGGGGACTGGCAGGGAGTGAGCTCAGCAGGGAAAGGAAACCCAGGTGAGTCTAGGTCAGTAAAGCTGGAGGCTCCAACCTATGGCACAGACTGGTGTCCTGAGGAGCAATGCTCTGCTTAAGGTCATGCACCACTGGGTGGACACCAGGGATGTGCTCTGCACAATGCCGTTTGTGCGTGTGACTCAAGAGACATGGGACATGGCGTCCCGTTCCTAGAGGTAAACGTGGGGTCCTGCCTCACATGGTTGATCAGACATTCAGTATTTGAGTGTGGAGTGGATTTTCCAAGCAGGAGTTGAAGCTTAAACTCCAGGGTCCCTCACTGGTCCCCCAGACTATGGACTTAAGGGCTTTGGACCTGGCCCTGCCCCAGCTGCTGAGGATGCTCAGAGGGGTGGGCAGCGGTGACTGGGAGGTCAGGACCAGCTCTGCAGGGCGGCCTCAAGTGAGGGGAACAGTGGGGCAAAGGCCCAGGGCCTGTTGGAGGCTCAGGTTGAGGAGGCCCGTGTGCCCAGGGCTCTGGCTGGTGGGAGGGACCGGAGCTCCTTTCAATGGCAGTGGGGAGTCAGTTTTAGGCAACAGATTTGTAAACTGACTTAGAGTTTAATACCTGTCTGCACAGTCCGGTCCCACGCCGCCATCTCTTGGTGTCATCTACACCCATCCCGTAGGTCCTCAATATCCCTTTTCACACAAGCCAGTCACCATCCTGCCTGAGGGCTTTTGCACAGGCTGTGCCATCTGCTAGACACTCCTCCTGCAGATGTCCATATGACACTGTCCCTCCCCTCCAGGTCTTCCCTCAGATGTCACCCCCTCCTCAAGACCTCCAAATGTCACATGCCACACCTTCCTACCACTTTCCTGGCTTTGAATGGTTGTGTAGCACTTAGCACCTTTTAAAGGATGATATATCTGCTAAACGTAAGGTTGGCACTGTTGGTCATCTGCCGCCTCTGCTTGACTGTCAGCCCTGCCAGGGAGCAGTGGCCCATTAGGTTCCCCCTGAGTCCCAGCCCCTGAACAGATGCTCATAAATATTTTTGGAAGGCATGAATGAGTGAGTGCATTCAGTGCAAAGAATACTTTGCCCTGGCAAGTACTGAGAGTGAGTGGAAGAGATGGGGGAGGCTGGTGGCAGCCTGGCCCAAGATGGAGGCTGTAGTTTGGGAAGGAGTTGCCAGGACTCAGGGACAAGACTCCCAAGTCCCAGAGTCCTCTGACTCACAGGTCCCCTCCAGGTCCCTGGGAAGCAGTTTTGGGTCTGCTTCTCCCTCTGCCAGGCGTGATGGGTTCTCAGGCTGGTACTCAGTTCACTTACCCACTCTCAGCGGGGCGAGCCCCAGGGTCCTGGCGGCCTGCCCAGACTGACATCTTCCCAGGGCGAGCATAAAAGATCCCCCTTCAGCGGGAACACACATCTGCTGGGGGTGGGATGGGGGGAGACAGGCTGGCACTGCCAACTCTACCCAACCTCTCACTGCCTCTGGACAGACAGCAGCCCCGCCTGCCTGCCTGCCCACCCATCTGGCTGAGGGCACCACAGAGGTGGTCCCTGGGCCAGGCCCACCTGGTGAAGGAGTGGGAATTCCTAGGACTCAGAACAGCCTGGTGGGGTGGGGGGCATTGAGAGATGGCCTTACTCGGCTCACCCATGTCCGAATGGGCCTATTTCAATCACTATGGAGCACCTACTGTGTGCAGGGACAAGTCACATCTCCACCCTCATGGCTCTGACATGCTGATGGGTGGAGGCACCCAGTACGACATCAAGGTGAAAAGTGCCATGAAGGTTGGAGGGTCCCAGGAGGCCAGAGCTCCTGTGTGCTAGGCTGGGACGTTCCACGCCTCGAGACCCCTCCTCTTCTCTCCTCCCTCTTTCTCTCCTTTGTGCCCATCTCTGTCTCCATCACCCTTCTCCCAAGAAATGTCCTCCCACTCTCTGGTTCAGCTGAGGGGAAAGTTTGCGGGGGGGGGGGGGTGGATAGGAGTAAAGTCCTGGGCCCCTGTGTCATCTAACACCAACCTGGCTCCAGCCCCAGAAACAGAACCTCAAGTCTTCTCAGAGTTGGGGCAGAGAAATTGGGCAGCATGGTGGGGCATCTGGTGGGAAGGGACAGCAGGCTCTGAGACCCCCTGGGACCCCGGACATTCCTCGAATTTAAAGCCCTCCAGCCTTACAGGAGACCCAGACCCCCACTGTGGTTCAGGGTGCCATTGGAGAGTGTGGGTCGTCCTCGACCTTAGTGGCTCTTCCTGTCAGCCTAAGTTTTCTCATATGCAGGAGGTGGGCGAGAGGGGCGACTGTGGGACGGGCGACATTAACCCCACCTTGCCCCTCCCCACAGAACACATTCCCACTTGAGAGCTTTGTCCAAGGGCCCTCAGGTGAACAAGCCAAAGTCTCCTGTGGCCTGAAAACCAGCGTTTTATTATGAAATCCTCAACCCCGTAGAAAGGAAAGAGGCTGGCACGGGAACGCTCTCACTTCTGTGTGTCCCACCAGCAACGGTTACCGCCCCGCCGGGAGCACTGGACAGAGGAGGATCTAAGGCCCCTTGCCAAGTCAAGGTCGCGCGCAAAGGCTCCGGCCCCGCGACTGAGCTTGGTGACCTTGGGCGCGTCCTTTCGTTTCGTGGGCCTTAGTTGCCACTTCTGGGAAGAGGCCTAAGCGGATCTCTCAGGTCTCCGGCCGCGTGACCTTGGACCGTCCCCGACCCTG